AAATATTTAAAGAGCATATCGAAACAAGTGTGATGCCAAGTTGCCGATACAAAAAAAGAAAAGAAAAGAAAAGAAAAATCCGGAGAATTCAAAAACCGTACGCACATACCCCCCCCTCAAAAAAAAAAAAAAGTGAAAGAGAGAGAGACAGAGAGAGAAAAAAAAAGAAATTCGGAATGGGGCGCATTTCAATCGGGCAGATGACGTGACGGCCAGCTCGAAATCAAACTTAAAAAAAGGGGGGGAAAATATCCCATGATTAACAATTGATCCAAAGCCAACTAGGAGGACCCGCGGGACTTCGAACAAAAAGGTGTTCATGATACCGCAGTTTCCTGGTCTAAATTGGAATTTTGAATGGTTCCCAAAAGACATTATGGAAAGGAAAACAATAAATAACAACACGATATGACTAACATCGCCGCCAGTAAACCTAATCCCATCATGTGAGAGCTATGGAAAAACATGGGACGGAAAATGGTGAAGCTACAGACAGACACACGGACGAACGCTCTCGGAAAATGTATGCGATATATGTTGAAATGCATGTATTATATATACGTATATATAGATATAGATAGATATAGATATACGTATATATATATGTATATATGTATATATATGTACATATATGTATACACATACATAAATATACATATATATATGCATGTATACATATATGTATATACATTATATATATATACGTGTGTGTGTGAATGTGTGTGTGTGTGTGTATATATATATATATATATATATACATATATATATATATATATATATATATATATATATATATATATATATATATACATACATATACATATATATATATATATATATATATATATATATATATATATATATATATATATATATATATATATATATATATATATATACACACACACATTTGCACATACAGATTCTATATAGATGGCTCACATAAACATACACGTGCCAATCCACAGAGAAAAAGCGTAATAGAGTTAGCTTGGCGGCGAAGGGGAAGGTCCCCGAGTGTTGAATAAGGCAGGATCATGATCTCATTGGTCGTGTACAAAGCAGCTTGGAAACAAATGACCCGTTGCCCCTGAGCCTTCCTCGGCCGGACAAATTCTCTCCGCGGACCCAGGATAGTAGCAAGCCACGTCGAGGCCTTAAGGGCGACCCTGCTCTGACCTCACCCCGTCCCTTTCGACCGTACGAGCGCGCCGTGGTCGAGATCCTCTTGCGGGGAGCCGAGTGTAGAAATGCTAAAACTAAAGACTCACCGACGGCGGCCACAACGAAGCTACAGCAGATGGAAATATGAATTGAGATCCCGGGGGCTTACGAGGGCTCTGACAGGATATTCTCGAGAAGAGCCCATACACTTGCTGCCACGGACGGTATATTGACGATTAGAAAAGGGCCTCAGGTTCCCAGGTCCCCCCCCCTCCCCTCCTCTCCTAGTGAGGCTGGCGACAGGCTGCGTCTCTGGGGCTTACATTTTTTTTCTTCTCTCTCTCTCCTTTTTATAAAAAAAAGTATATGGACACGAATTCCGGTAAGGAAAAGGATCCTCCAAAAGATGGCATTCCACGTCAAAATAAGTGAAGAATGGTTGGACGAGGAGGATGGAGTGACCTGCTTTATTCATCCAACGAGAATACTGTAGGAGGGGAGAGCTTCCATATCCTGAAGCCACCGGTATGCAGCCAGGTGATCATATTGTCCAGTCACAACTCCAAAGCAGATTTTGAGGTTCGGGGAAAGAGAGAGAGATGGAGAGAGAGAGAGAGAGAGAGAGAGAGAGAGAGAGAGAGAGAGAGAGAGAAAGAGAAGAATAGAAGTTGGAGAAAAAAGAGATGGAGAAAGAGAGGGAAAGAGAAAGTAATAGCAGTTAGATGGAAGTGAGAGAGAGAGAGAGAGAGAGAGAGAGAGAGAGAGAGAGAGAGAATATTAGAAGTAGGAGAAAGAGAGATCTGTCTGTATGATTTTGAGATATTTCCCTCGAGTATAATTGTCTATAGTTCTTCCTCCTCGCTTTTTTATAGTTCGATTAATGGGAGAACTCGGCCGGAAATGCGATCGAGGTGTATTGTTTTAGGACGCCGTTTTATTCCTAATTAAAATACAGATATACATACATACATACATATGTATGTATATATATATATATATATATATATATATATATATATATTTATATATATATGTACACACACACACACACACACACACACATATATATATATATATCCTTGTGTATGTATTCATTCATGTATGTGCACATACATACACACACACACACACACACACACACACACACATACACATACACACACACACACACTTGAGTGCGCGCGCATGTATATACACATAAAAAATAGAAAACCGTATAACGGCATCTTTGTTGTTTTTTTCAACCCCCTTTTTTCTCTTCTTTTACGAGTTCTAAAAGATGGAATTTATCCCCCCTTTCCTCTGTCAAACATCAACATAATGTTGCCAACAATGGAGAATCTGCTAATGAAAAAGCTTGCGTCTCAGTGATTAAAAAAAGCTATTCACATTGTGGGCATTGTGGGTAGAACTCCCCCTCCCCCTCCTCTCCCTTCCCCTTTACCCCCTCCCCCTACCCGCCTCCTTCCGCTAAGGAGTCTCAAGAGAAATCCCGCGGAAATATTGTCTTACGTAGCCATAAGGCACAACCCGAAAATAAGAAAGAGGGAAAAATGTACATTTGTCCGAGAAAGCAACACGGAACATTAACAAAATTTGTTTATGTTTATGGCTAGTTTTGTGTTCCCTCTTTTTTTCCTGTTGAAAGCATCGTGAGTGACCAGAACCCGGGATGACTGAGTGGCAAGCAGAAAACAAGAATAGAATAATAATAATAAGAAAAAGAGATAATGATAATCAAGATCCTAATGGCTATGGATATCAATAGTAGTTACGATCTTACAAAAAATAAAGGCTATTATGGAAATTGTCAGTAATAGTAACAATAACGATAATAATAACAATGATGGTAATTATAATAATCATCATAATATAGAGTAACAATAATGACCCTAATAATAATCACGATAATAATATATAATAATAATGATAATAATAACAAATAATAATGATAATAACAAATAATAATAATGATAACAATAAACAGTAATAATGATGATAATAAATAAATAATAATGATAATGATAATAATAAATAATAATAAAGATAATAATTCTAACAACAATGACAATACTGCAAACAAGCGCAGCAAGATTTCGCCGCCGCCAGGACCCGGAGTCCGGGCGACGGCACGAGCAACGACATTCTGACGGGACATTGTTCGTGTACGTCTCGCGCTAGCATTCAATTTTTGGCACTGCGGTTCGAAGCTGGGGCGGGGGAGGGTAAGGGGTGAGGGGGGAGGGTAAGGGAGCGGAAGAGGGGGGAGGTAGGGAGGGAGGGAGGGAGTGCGTGTGTGTGCGAGGGGAGTGGCGGCCGGTAGGGGGTAGGGGGTGCGGACAGACCTATCTTTTGTGTGGTTTTTACATATACCTCCTCCCTCCCCTCCCCCCCTCCCTTTCTCTCTTGATTCTTTGTCTTAGCGCATCCGAGCATGAGTCCTTACCCGGATGTCGCTTTAAGGGAAGGGGAGGGGAAGGGAAGAGGAAGGGGAGAGGGAGGGGAAAGGAACAGAAGTAGGGAAACAAACAGAACCACAAGGATGGAAGAAAACAAGTGAACAGATGTGCGCGCGCGTGCGTTCGCGATCGTGTGGACAAGAGGAAAAATAATTAAGCGAAAAGACGCGATGAATATACTCTATTTTTCCTTCTCTTTCATTCCTTAATAAACGCATTCTGCTCCGGATGAGGTCTGCCACGCCAATCACGAATCGAAGCCTCTCCTTCTGTATCGGATTCGCTACTCTGTCTTCTCTCTCTCTCTGCGAAAGGCGTAATTCGCTCTTAAATCAAACCGGATAATTACTGATTCTCAATAACTTTGCTGAAAATCCTCCTTTACTCTTTTTCCTCAAAGCCTCGTCATCAAAGCCTTAACGACGGAAAAGCACTGACACAAAACATCCAAAAGTTTCCGTGTATTTTAAAACCGATTCGAATGCCGAACGTTTCTTACATCTACGATTTTCCTCCTCGATGCCGGATACAGTTCTTCTACAACAACGAATTTTCTCCTCAGGCCCCGTGAACAAAAGCGTCAAGGCTCTGCAGCAACAAGTCCGTGCTCGCGCGCGCGCTCTCCCTCCGATAAGAGCCAGCCATCAGCCGAAGCGAAGACGTCGTTGGCGAACGTAAACAAATCAGTTCCGAACATTGAGAAGCAGTTTGTCTCGCGGCTTCGGAGGCGGCGGAGGCAGTGTCGGACGGTTAAAAAGACCCAACGAAGCTCAAACAGGTCGTTTTGTGGGTGTAATGAGGCGGTCCCACCCTCCGCCGCCGTCTGTCCCGCCACCACTTGCCTGATTAAAACGGACAACACGCTGTAACGCTGCTGTTGCTGCTGCTGTTCTTGCTGCTTTTGGGATTGTGTTGTTGTAGTACTGAAAGGATTTGCAGTCTCTGCGTTGCGAAAAATAAAAAGGCGATGTAATATGTTCCCTTATACTTTTTTTTATTTTTTTTTTAATCCACATACGAAGTACGAGACGATACTAAGATGTATTATGTTGTAAAGCGAATTGAAATAAAGAGAAAACTGAAATACACGGAGAACGAGACGTATAAACTATATGTATTGTCTGTCTTGAGATACAATACCCTGTCGCTACCAGGCGTGGAAGGTAATGCCATTGGCACTATATAATTTCTTTCAGGTACGATAAGCAATACAGACAAAGAAACTGCTGTGACTGGAGTAGACAGCCTTGCGCCTCGAAAAGCGGTTAGCGACGACAGCGGACGATACATGAATAAAATGAAAGACCGAAAACAAAATGGCAACCGAAACATTGCGCCGCAGAAGCCAAATTGAAAACACGAAAGGGGGGTACTTACCTGTCGATGATGACGGGGTCTGAGGGCGTCTCGTTGCGGTTTCCACAGCTCTTCTTGTCACAACACCGGCTGGAGGAGAGAGAAAGAGAGATAAAGGTAAGACCACAAGGTTATTCTTCGTTCATTAACACAGTATAATATGATGTAAGATTTGCTTCCGTGTATGTGTAATCCAATTAAGATTAACTCGGAACAACGAGACATGATTAAATCCATGCGTTCATCCTCTCCTTGACCAAACCCACGAGACCGAACGCGAGAGCAGACATGGCGAAGACCGCAAGGCTTTGACAGGATTTATTAGCTCCTCCATATTAGCACAAGACCGCGTGAACACCTGGACGTTAATTTCTCCAGCGTTAGAATATCACGGTCTCCCATTTGGCTCTGTCTGTCCGCCTGCCTGTCCGTCCGTCCGTCTTTGACACGCCTACGTTATAAATCTGCAAATCGTATTACGCTGGACTGCGATACGTCAATGAGAACTTGCAGGCACACATATACGCCCCGTCGTAATATGAAGGAGGTCCACATGTAGCCAAAATGAACAAAGGGCATTAGGGGGCCCGGCGTAATCCAATTCTGGTAAGGGCTCTTGAACCGTTTCAAAGGACGTGCGCATATGACCCTAAGCCGAATTAACCCTTTATTGGGATCCGAATCGCGAGGATAAGATTCCGTATTGCATTTCGCTCCCATTCAGCAAGATTCAGTGCTAGTTTCGATCCTTGTGATGTGGTAATATCAATGTTTTAGTTCCCATGGGGTAGGGCGAGCGAGGGAAGAAAGAAAAACATGCAAGGATACCTCTTCCCTCCCCCTCCTTCCTCCCTCCCTCCCTTCCTTCCTTCCTTCCTTCCTTCCTTCCTTCTCCCCGCTTCCCTCTTCTCAACCTTCCCTCTAACCCCTCCCACCTCCCAACCTTCCCTCCACCCCCTCCCTCCTTCTTCCCTTCCCTCCACCCCTCCTGCTGTAATCCAAGAGGACCGAGCACAAGACCGCCGCCGCTGGCACGACCTCCCGAATAAGGCACCGCCCCCTTCGCCTCCTGTCGGGCGATGAGCTACCGCGCAGACAGCCACGAGGGCCCTTCAAGCGGCTGGAGAAGGGACCTCGTCCTGGCAGACAGAGTGCCCTTCATCCCGTGGCCGCAGGAGGGGGTAGGAGCCAAGGGTGGGTGTAGGATGGATAGTGGAGGACGGGGAGGGTGGAGGGAGGGGGGGAGGCGTTAGGAGGATGAAGGATGGAGGATGGATTGTTGAAGACGGGCGAAGAGAGTGGGGGAGGGGGAGGAGGGAGACGGGAGGGGCGTCGGTACGGACTCGCTCTGGGGGCGCTGCCCTTCAACGCCATCTTTTTTTCGTGCGCGGGATTTGTTTGTGATTTATGGGCGGACAAAAAGTGAATGCGATTGGTAACGGAGAACAGCAGGATGTTGTTGCGCCGTGGGGGAGGGGAGAGGGGGAGGGGGAGGTCCTGAGGGTGGGGGGGAGGGTAGTAAAAAACGGGTGATGGGGAGACCTGTCGTCGCGGGATATAAAACACTAAAATAATGGGGAGGATATCGGGATGGGAAGATGGAATGGAATGGCACGAAGAGAGGAAGAGAGGGAGAGAGAGAGAGAGAGAGAGAGAGAGAGAGAGAGAGAGAGAGAGAGAGAGAGAGAGAGAGAAAGAGAAAGAATAGAAAAAAAAATGAAAGACAAACAAATAACCAAACAGATATATAGACACAACAAATAAACAAAGAGAAAAACATAAACAAAGACCGAATCAAACCAGAAAGAGAAAGAGAGAGAGAGAGAAAGAGAATGACTGAATGCCAGGAAAATAGAAAGAAGTGCGACCATTCGAAATTATTGCAATGGGAAAAGCGAAGTAGAAACCTTTAATATTATAAAGGACGAGACAACCCTACCGATGTGTATGGAAGGGGAAAGTGTGCTATGGTAGTGAGAGGCATAGAATGAGGGCGAAGGGTAAGCAGCGATGAAAGCAGGAAGAGAGAGAAAAGGGGGAGAAACGGCACAGAAAAGCGTTAAAAGGAAAATAACGCTAATAATCACTGGGCTAAGATGAATGAGAGATGGGGAGGTGTTAATGCTACAGGGAAGGGTAGGGGGCAGGGGCAGGGGCAGGGGGGGGGGGGGGAGGGAGGCAAGGGCACCGAGGGAACGTGTAGGTACAGAGGAAACATAGAACAGCATACATGATATAAATCTCAACTGTTGAGCAGCATGGAGAGAGAGAGAGAGAAAGAGAGAGAGAGAGAGAGAGAGAGAGAGAGAGAGAGAGAGAGAGAGAGAGAGAGAGAGAGAGAGAGAGAGAGAGAGAGAGAGAGAGAGAGGGGAAGAGGATGATGGAGTGGAAGTGAAGAGGAAATGGAAGAGAAAGAGAAAGAGAGAGAGAGAGAGAGAGAGAGAGAGAGAGAGAGAGAGAGAGAGAGAGAGAGAGAGAGAGAGAGAGAGAGAGAGAGCGGTGGCGTGTACAAGTGCAATAAATTCGCGCACATCAAAGTCTACCAAATAAAGGTCGATGAGTATGTAGTGCCATGCGGTCGTAAACAAGGCTGCAGAACTCGACGACCGCATGACACTCACGCATGACTTCATGACGTCTGAATTTCTTTCTATTGTTGCTCATTCAAACTTTATTTTGTCTCTTTTTCTTTTTTTTTCCAGACGCTGTTGATCCACTACGTTATTTATAGTTCTTGATGTGTGTGTGTTTGTGTGTGTGTGTTTATGTGTGTATGTATGTGTGCGTGCGCTGTCTTCTCTTAGAATTTACCTACACGTAGACATTTTCTCGAGATCTTTTGGGCTAAAAATGTACAAATAGAATAAAACCAACTAATGAAAAATGAAGAAAAAATGAGACGAAAAAAAAGAAAAGAAAACGAAACAAACCCGACATCAGCATAATAGTACACAATAGCATCGGTTCCCATAGAACCCCATAAATTCACATAGAACCCAATCGCCTTTCACAGAATCCAATCGCCTTTGCAACTATCCCAATCCTACCTATGAAATCTCTTTAACGCCGCCCCTACATCTGCTATTCCGTCATGGCTGCGGCACCTGTGATGTCGGACAGGCATGAGGATGATGATGATGCAGGCACAACACAAATAACTAATTCTGTCCATGTTTAATCCTCTATGATGATAATAATTACGTTATTGGCGTCGTAAGGACCAATTTGTGACTTACGAGAGGATCGCGTGAGGACCTTAAAAGAACCGCTACAGTGACGCTTAGGCCAAAATTATTCGGGCCGGACTCGGGATAATCGCCTTTATAATGGGATGCAATAAAGCCGGTTTTATAACCTCGTTTGATCGGAAAATGGATCTTCCAGCCTGGAGAGCTATTGCCCGGTAGGAAGCAGGAGGAGGAGGAGGAGGACGAGTGGGGTGAGGGGGAGGGGGGAGGGGGGAGGAGGTGGGGAAAAGAGTAGGAGAAAGAGGGAGAAAGAGAAAGACAGGAGGAAAGAGGGCAAGAGTGAGAGAAAGATAGGAAAAGAGGAAGAGGAAGACGGAAATGAAGGATGAGATGAGAAAGGAATAGAAAAAAGGGAAAGAATACACGGCAGGTAGGTAGGTAGAGGGGGAGAAACCAGAACAAAAACCCAAGAATAATAATAATAATAAGAAGAAGAAGAAGAAAGAAAGAAAAAAAAAAGAAAAAAAGAGAAAGATGAGGAAAGGAGGAAGAGTATTTAGGAAAAGATTAATCAGTATTTTGAGAGTATTATACGAGGGGTCATAAGGATAAATTGCGCCTTGATAAATGGCTTCCGAGGGTCATGCACTCGACCCATTAGCTTTCTCCGCATATCTGAAAACAATTAGCGATCCGCGGGTTTCGGTGATGGATGGGCGGAGGGCGGTGGGCGGAGGCGGTGGGCAGTGGGTAGAGGAAGGAGGGCGGTGGGCGGAGGGGGTGTGCGGTGGGCAAAGGAAGGAGGACGGTGGGCGGAGGCGGTGGGCGGAGGCGGAGGGCAGAGGAAGGAGGGCGGTGGGCGGAGGCGGTGGGCGGTGGGCGGAGGTGGAGGGCGGTGGGCGGAGGGCGGGGCGAGGCAGAGCGAGGTCACTGATGGGCTGACCTTTTTCGTCGGCTGTTTAATCGCTTGACCTTTTTTTTGTTATCTATTGATTGACCCTTTGACCTTTTTTTTTTATCCATTGTTTGATTATTTGATCACTTAGTTCTTCTTATATACTTTTTACAAAAATCATCTGACCTTTTTTTAAATCTACAATGAGGAATATTTCCAAAGAGAAAAAAAAATATCAACAAAAAGACGAAAGAGGAAGATTAGCAAAAGACCCAAAAAAATAAAAAAGAAAAAAAAAGCGACAAAAAGATAATAAAAATAAAACAACAGAAAATGAAAAACCACTTCCTAGAGATAATAAAACTTCCTTACCAGTCCCTCCCTCCCTCTCCCTCCTACCCTCCCTCCCTCCCTCCCCCGTCCCCACTTCCTCCTCCTCCCTCCCTCCCTCCCCCATCCCCACTTCCTCCTCCTCCCTCCCTCCCTCCCCCTCCCACCCCCACCCCCCACCCCCACCCCCACCACGAACAGCGGCAACCCAAGAACACGCGCAACATATATATACATATATATATATGGCACCGCTATAAAAAATTGCAATACAGCAAGGAGTTCTGGAGCAATTAGAGGCAAGCATCTTAAATTCGTTTTAGTGCCGCACTTAAGAAGGATTAGCTGTGCAATGGCGTCCATGGGGGGGGAGGGGGGAGGAGGAAGAGGAGGAGGAGGAGGAGGAGGAGGAAGAGGAGGAGGAGGAGGGGAGGAAGCAGAGGGGGAGGAGGAGGGAGTGTCTGTGGGGAGGAGGAAGAGGAGGAGGGGAAGGAGGAGGAGGGGAAGGAGGAGGAGGAAGAGGAGGGGGAGGGGAAGGAGGGGGCGTCTGAGGGGAGGAGGAAAGGAGGGGAAGGGGAGGAGGAGAGGAGGAAGCAGAGGGGGAGGAGGAGGGAGTGTCTGTGGGGAGGAGGAGAGGAAGAGGAAGAGGAAGAAGAAAGGAGGAGGAAGAGGTTATG